TAGGGAAAAAACCTAAAGACAAAATAGTATTTTAGCAGATGATTTTATTAAGACTTCTGTATACTTGTAGTTATTTTTACTGCAACTATGTCATCAGTGAAAAGAACATGATTGATTTTGTTTGTTTTCTGAAGAGATGTCCGACGATTAGTTGTTGCCATGTCAAGAGCCAGGCTTGGGCTTTATATCTTTGCAAGGGTATCGCTGTTTCAGAACTGTTTTGAGCTAACTCCAGCTTTCAGCCAACTCACAGCTCGACCACTTCACCTCCATATCGTTCCCACAGAATGTTTTCCAACAGCAAGACAGGTAGGAACAGCTGCTCTGAATTTTGCTATCTGTAATGGCTATGTGTGTTTGCCCACTTTTTTTGAGTGGGCTATAAGAGATGGGACCATCTTCTCTGCTAAATTAGTGCCTCTTGGATAATTACGTCCCTAGGGTTAACTTTTATCATGATACACACTAGCTGTTTTTAGTTGATTTTTCCACAAAACTTAGTTACATTAATAACTCTGTTGTGCCTGTTTTTTACTAAGTTCTGCCTCTGTAAGTGATTCAATATTTTTCTTTTATGATAAACAGGTAAGTTTTTAGTGTGTTACATATTTTTGGTCTTGTTATGAAACAAAATAATGTTGTTTCTCAAAAAAAAAAAAAGCCACACAAAGCTAATCGCTTCTTATTAAAAGAGGTAAAATTACATTTGACTGAGTAATTCCGGATAACCAATTAACTTTTCTTTTTTTTTTTTTTTTTTTTTTTTAAATTGGTCCCAAAATCACAAAAGAGTTTTGTTGCTGAGCTAGGTGCATAAGTATGAAAATGTAATTTGTAATGCTGCAATACGTGGAAAGATTTGTATTAAGCATCTAACCACAGGACACACAGAGTAGGATGCTAAATGAAGAAATGGAGGAGCATATCTGCTTTGCTTCCTGGAGCTTTGAGAAGGGGTGCCTACATGAACTCAAAATTCAGTTACAGATCTTTCCCTGGTCTTAAGTGCTGTTGACAAGTTTGGGAGGGAGCCCTTCAATTGACACTTTCAGGTCCACTGTGCAACAAAGAATGCAGCGTGTATGGTCAGCAAATGGGAGCAAGGAGCTGGACAGTGATGGACAAGTAGGCTAAGTGCTAACCAGATCCTACACTATTTGTGCCTTTAATATGTTAAATGACTGAAGTCCAAAATGTACTTTATGGAGTAAGCATCAGAACCCAGCCTTTCCTTTTGAAATTTCTTCGTTGGGCTGTAGTATCATGATTAATCCAGTTCCCCAACGTGTAAGACCTACACTTCCTATCTTTCCAAAGAATTGAGCTATTTTTTTCTTTAAAAAGCATTATTTAATTTCTTGGGGTTTATGTTTTGTAGTATAGTTAAATAACCTTTGAATAATGGCTCTTTTGCTTTGCTTGCTGAATGTCTACTTTTTTCCCCTTTCCTTAGAATGGAGAAAGACCATCTCACCAAATACATGTTATTAAGAACATGCCTCAAATGGCTAACTTTGTGTACAATATGTATATGCATATGATACAGAGTACACGCCACTATCAACAGGTAAGGACCTTCTAACTTTTGGAAGGTGTGCATTTAAAATAAAATTGATTTTTAGTAAGTGACATGGGATGCTGTTGAGGTTTGAGACTGTTCCTGTTATGTTGAAAATTCAAGAAGGTTTTATGACTAGGAGTGAGAATATTGAGGACTTTAAAATCTTGCAGTAGCAAGAGCTGTATCTTTTAGTAATTTAAACCCCAATTTAAGGCCCCAAAAGCAGTAGTAATTGATGCTGAGTGCTAGACATGGCTCTGTCTGGGCCCAAAAATTCCTCATTAATACTAAAGAACTAGCCTGTCCAGTATTTATTTGAAGTAAACTTGTGTGTTATGTTTCAGGTAAGTGCAGCTAGTGGTATTATAGCACCACTGCATGGTGCAATAATGTTTTGTGATAGAGGTTTTCATGACAACCCTGCAGTGTATAGAAAGACCAGATCATGTCTTGAAACCATTTTGACCATGTTAGCTCACTGCATTATCCAGGCTGGTTTGCAGCTGTAACGTTTTTATTCTGAAGCTTTTTTTTGCAGCACTAGTTCAGCACCAAGCAAAATAGCATGGGCTTGGAAACAGTTGTAGATGCTTTCTCACTTCTGTTTTCTCAGTGTTTTCTCACCTAATTTTGTCAGTGTTTAATCCCTGAAACAGAATTCAGAACCCAACAGAAACACCTTGTTGTTTTATGTATGTGAGCAGAGCTTTAAGGTAGTTTAGATAGTATACTGAGCAGAAAGCTGCCTTTACTCAGCATACTTGGATCTGTAGATGCCTAGAGGTAGTTGATAGTAAACAGAAATGCTGCCCCTCAACTGCATCAGCTTTCACGTAATGTCTGGGGTGTATCATGATTATATTACCTATAATTTATTCTTTGTGGTACTCTGAAGTTCACTTGTTGGTTTTTGCTCTTCTGAAGCATTTCCAAAAGTGGAAAAAATTGATGTAAAAGGACACTACTCACTCTGTATTAGCTGGCTGTGGGAGGAGAGTGTGAGCATGGCTCTGTATCCTTGAACAGATTAGTCCAAGGTACTTGTCTGTGAGATCTAGGTTCTGTTCTTTAGTGCAAGGATGTTTCTCTGTCACCTCCTCTTCTTTCCTTCTTCCAGTGACTGTTTCATCTAATATGGAACAGTGTAATCAGTAGAGATCAGAACCCCAACTTCTCCTTTAACTGAATGTCAGACTTTCAGATGGAAAACTTCTTTTCCTCTGCAGTTCTTGTCCAGTGAATCTTGGATATTTTTTTTTTTTTTTTCCTTTTCTTCTGGGAGGCATAGCTTCCGCCAGATTTGAAGCATTTTGCTACCCAGAAAAACCCTTTGCCAGGTGGACAGGATGTTTTCTCACTGTTTCGGGGAAGTGCTCTAATTATCTGTCTGCTGTAAAGAAAAAGGGGATAGAGAAAGAGGATAATACCAGTTATTCTTCTTAGTATCCTAATCTTATCCATTGCTAGCTAAAATTAGTTACAAAACTACTGGTTTCCTACTGTGGCAATGAATCACATTCTCCTTGCAGGAGAAGCCAAAAAATGAACTACAAAAAAAAAAAAAAAATATGCGGGCATTAAATTTCTTTTACCCTATTTAGTACAACATGATATTTTTCCTTTTCTTTTACGCTGGTCTTAACAGTAGTAGTCACAAAGCACAACGTGCATCTAACTAAATCACAGAAGTCTGAGTTTGTCTCATGCATCAAGCATGTATTTTTGTAATTAAAGGATCTCTGGTTTTGAAATACACTTTTTCTGTGAACAGATGGATTATAGAGACCAGTGTGATAACTTCAAAGTCTACAAAGAGTGCTTTTCATATCTCTGCTGGTAGTCATAATTGCTTCATAGATTTGCTTATGCTTGTCAGCAATTTGTAATATTAGTGTCATCTGATTGAAAATAAGACTTCACTGTAATTAAACAATTTTACATGTGAAGCCAAGTTGCCTTTAAGCAAAACAAAACTAAACAATCATCCATGGGAGGTTTATCGAGCTTTCATTTCATTAAAATACTTCACAATATTCCAAGGACGTATCCATCATGTCATTAGATAATGTCAGGCTGCAAGAAGTTGTTTCTGTACAGCTTGGAGTTGTGTAGCATTCATCCTCTTCAGCTCGCTATGTTCTTGGTATTTTTTTTCCGAAGTCTGTAATATGGCTACCATTGGTGCTTATAATGTTTTGGAAACTGCTTTTTTGGTTGCAAGCAAAACACTTTGAATATACTGAAGTACTTTTCCAGAAGTATTATGTGAAAAATATCTAAGCATTGCTTTAACTGTTACTGGAACTTGTGTTGTTCTACACTTATAGCTGTGGGTGAAACTTGTATAAGTACAGATAATGTTCACATAGTATTTTATAAGATGTTTCAAGGGGAAATTACTGGAATGAGTTGTTAAAGACAGGCCTGTTAAAGGCCTCAAAAGGCAAGTTGAACATATCTAGGAGTTTGAAATGGTGATAGATGAGATTACGATAGGAATGTGCTTGTTGCTCCCAGTAGGGATTTACCATAGCCCTATTACTTGTCTGGCTGTTTGGGATAATGAAATGTGTTTGATATCCTGGAATTGGAAGTACTGAGTTTTTAACATGCTCTTTTTCAGGCAAAAAATGTGTCTGATAAGACCATTGTGTGAGCCAAGATTATTATTAATTTTTTTTTATATAGGAGTTAAGTGCCTACAAATGATTAGGGCTTCTGAATTTTAAGTCTTTGTTGTTAACTTGTTATCTAATGCAAAATCCTAAATATAAGGTGAACAGTTCAAGCCAAAATAGGAATAGATGCCCAAATAGATGCATTTGTTGTAAAAACTGAAAATCCTTTCTTTTTTAATCATCTAGCGTTTACTGCCCCCACCTGCCATGATTGAAGAACCGGAAACTACTCAAACTCAAGAGACTGAAGTAGAAGGTGAAGTGCAAGGCATGCAGGAAGATGCAGAAGAAGAAGAAAATAAGGTAGGGGAAGAAATGATAAAGGAAGGAGAATTGAAAGTGGCCGAAGTGGATGAACATCGAACAATGCCAGAACACCCCGGAAGAGACAGTGATAGTGGAGACAGTGAACCTGAGAACGAGACTGAAAAGTGATCCACGTGATGATTGTCCTCTACATGTTTTGGAAAACGGATGGGGAAAAAAGCAGTTAGGAATATAATTACTGTTTTTACATTGACTTTTTTAAATGCTTGCTTGTGTAATGTGACCTGTTTGGTATATTTTTCACTGAATACTTTGTGGACAAACAAAATGTTTGGCAAACATTTTACTGAGTTCTTGTCAGTATCAGTAATGTAATTTGTTTAATGGCCTCAAACGATTCACAGTTTCCTTTTCATGAGTTGTTCAGTAAAGATGCTTTTTATACCAGTTTTGAATATTTGACCTTTAATTCATTCACTGAGTTATCCATTAAACCTCACTGATTAAGTATATTCAATATTGGTCAGACACTCTTTATAGTTTCCTTAATATTTTGCGGTGGAGAATTCCTTACGCAGAGCTGTGCTCGTATACACTGAGATGGTATTTTAGGCGTAGGCTCAAGTTCAGTGAGATATTTTATTGTATGTGTGAGAAATGTGAATTACTGTGGGACTTTGAAATGTTTAAAAGCTTTATTGAACTGGGACCTTAGCAGGTTCTCAGAATTTCATTAGGCCCAGGTACTTGTAGCAATTTCTCATTGTTGACTTCTGCCGCTGTTTTTAATTGATCATTATTTACAGAAGAGGTGAGGATACAGCTTTTCAACAGCACTGTTTTTTAAATTAGTGTTTTGAAATAAATTTCTTTTGCTTTAAGAGGACACAGTAATTGCTTAGGATAAAGCAACATGAGGAAAAAAAATGAAAGTAGTTCCCTGCAGGATTTGCAAAACATACAATATTGATATTAATGACATAATGGTTGAGTGGGTTTTCTAGGGTAACTTCCAAGTGTACATCTTTCGTAAAGTGATCAGAGAAAGGTTTTTCCCTGGTTTGTTAAGAATACCTGCCAACTTGGAAAATTATTCAATGGTTCAATGAGACTTACGAATTTCCAAGTAGATTCTCAAACAAAGCGATAGCCATAGGAACACCTTTATTGCTGGCAAAGGGAAAATGCTTGGTTTTCAAATGTTGCAGTTGTGAAGCTGCCAGAAGGACTTCCTCACTAAATTGAGGCTTTTATTAAGAGCGTTGAAGTTCTTTATTTTTCTTAATATTTTTGTCATATAATAAGGAAAAAAGAAATAGTATAAAGTAAGCCAAGCTCCATGAAACACATGTATTGCATACTTGTGCATGCTAAGATCTCATCTCCTCCCTACCCCCCCCATCATTCTCCCCCCATCAGTTAGCGGGGAGCTCAGGACTAACAAATCCTAATACTTGCTATTGATACACAGTGTTCTCTTACATTTTTCATTCGCTGGAATCAAGTTTTCTCAAACAAGAAAATTAATCATTTGAGCAGAATGTGTGTTCTTTCATTGCTTGTTTTGACTGGAAGGGAGTGTACTTTTTATTACCAAATTGTCTGCCTTGGGAGAACAAATATTACAGTGTTGAACATTTGGGTGTTAAGTTTCATGCAGTAACATTCACATGTTCATGCAGGGTCGAATAATACAGGGCCCTCAGGCCACAAGCGACTAGCTCAGCTGAGGGTTGTCATCTTTGTTTTCCAGCCTATTTTCTATAAATATTTGAGTCTTAGAATCATTTATTGTGCTTTAGTATTTTAGGAATTGGAAAAGGATTCTGGAGGTTTTTTTCTAAAATGGATAACTTAACTGACAGAGATTCTATCAATAATTAGGACAGAATGACTATTAGCAAGCACCCAAAGCTGAAACGAGCTGCGAAGACCTTTTTGAGTTGTGCACAGTTTGCAGTGAGCTGCGGCCACACCTGCCTGTGTGGTACATGGTCGCTTCTGGCTCAGTCCGTGTGGAACAACAGCCAAGTATGGAGTCGTCCTAGACTTCAGTGTTGCCCTAAAATGGTGAGTGGAGTTGTAATGAAGGTTGTTTCTGGCTAAGGTGCAGGAAGAGGCAGTTGAACTGCAAACAATTGCAAAAGCTTGAACAGCCTTAATATGCAGTTTTCTGAGGGACCAAGCACCACCTGTAAAAGAGATGGAAGGTTTTGTTGAGTTGACTTGAGCTGAGCAAGTGGTTCATTACCCTTGCTGCCATCCTCCATATGTTGAACTTTACTTTTTTCAGGGACATGATAGTATCAGGAGAATGCATTTCCAAAAGTCTGGAAATTGATGGTTTTCTTGTAGCAATGGTTGGAAAGTTCTTGAGGCTTTCATTTGGAGTACGAGGTTAGGGGTTTGGGGCTTTTTCTCCCCCAAAGCTTTTCAGTTCTGTTTTTCATTTTTGGTAAAGGATGAACTTTGCCTTTTCCACCAAAGTAGTTTTTAATATTCTGTTTACATTTTCTTATAAGTAAGAGTAGGTAGGAGAAGTAAAGCAGTCTAAAACTGTAATTTTGATCTACATGGTTTGTTTTCCAATGGCAATATTTACTTGGGATTTAGCATCCCCTTCTGATGTCCCTATCTTTATTCTAGTGAACAACAAGATCCAGTTGTTAAACTAAACGTATTGAAATTTTTTTTAAAAATGACATATACAAACTTAATTATTTTTAAAAGTCAGAATCTATAAGTAAGGGAACAAAACTATTGTTAAAATAGCTTTTAAAAAATTCTATTCAAGCATTATTGCAAAGAATTACAGCACTGCATGAAAACCTAGTGAACAAAATCTTTGTGAAGACAAGATCCTTTAAGGGTATAAACTGGAGGAAAAGAGAGAAAATTACTGTCTCTTATTCTTCCAAAGCCATGTAATAAAAAAACCTACTAAGGACTTTTTGAGGGAAACTAAAACCACTGTTAGTGGGTTTTCTTCATATTTATTTAGCCAATGCTTCCATGAATTGCTTAGTTTTCCTCTGTTATGCTGAGCCTGTAAAACAACTTAGGCACTACATTCCAGATTTATTTAAATAGAAACTAGTTTAGAAACAGCTCAAGCCTTGGACTAATATTGTGCTGATATAAAAATGATACTGTAATTCAATGTACTATTCACTTCTGAAATGGCTAGAAAAACAAGGGCAAAGAGCAATTTACTTAGGGTTCTGTCATCTATACATAGCTGAGATAGTAATGTATAAACAGAGGCCTCTTTCCATCTGTGACTCTGAAATAACGCAGTAAGTGCAGGTTTAGGTATGATCAAAGAAAATGCCTTAGTAATGCTCTCAGAGCATGGCTTGCTTTTGCTTTAGTCTGTATGGGACTTTGAAACAGCTTGGCAATGTGGCAAAGACGGTGGATAAGTTAGTTCTAAAAAGTTCAGGACAAAGTTTGCCAAGGGAAAAGAAGAGACAATCTGGAGGTCTCAATAAGCATTTTACAATAACGAGTATGTCCATAAACTCCTAAAGATAAGGCCATTACTTTTTCCTAGCCTACCTTGCATTTGCTTTAGTAGTGGATACCGAATACTGCTCTACGTGTTGGATAAGGTAGGTTCTAACTTCCTTCAAAAGGGAAGCAAACATCTGGCCCCTTTTCCTCCCTCTTGGAATGGATCTCTGCAGTTTCCTGGCACATAAAGTGATATGAATCCTGAAGAAAAGTATTCTCTTAAGGAGTAGAAGTTAAGTTTTCCTGACAGAATGGCTTTGCTGACAAGACAAGAGGCCAGTTTTATTCTCTGGAATCACAGAATTCTTTTAAAAAAGAAGACCTAGAGGCAATGTTGATCGCATACTGGATAAATATGATGACATACAATTCTATTGAAACAAGAATTAGGTAACACTTGAAATCTTGTAGAGCAAGCAGACAAAAGCGAACATCCCAGCCAACAAATGAATCACAACCCACAGCAGTCAAGAAGCTGTGAATGCCATTAAGACATATGGCAGTGTGGTTTCCTTTGCCAAACATGGTAATCCTCCCAGTAGAAACAATCAATAGAAAATGAATGTATTCAGGGGAGTTTTGGAGGCTGTTTTTATGGCCCTTAGTGCTTCCTTTGCTATGTGGTTTCTCAAGTGCAGTTCTTTTACGGTCCTTTTTCTCAGAGAATTGGTTGCTTGGGTACCTGTCAAGCCCAATAACTGTGTAATGTTTATGTACTATAGCACTGATAAACACATTTTAAAAGAATGCTTTTGCAATGTTTCCATTGCAAATTGAAAAAGAACTTTCTTAAAGACTTTCAGCTAAGCACCCTCTGTAAGTCCATGTATTTTCCTAACTTATGGGAGGTTTCTGAAAAAGTGCAGTACTCAAACTTCCAAAATAAAGTTCCTCCATGCCAACACAGGCATCTACAAAATTACTACAGTGAAGAGAATGCAAGAAAAGAGGGAGAAACAATACCTGCAATACTACTCCTTCTCAGTTTGTAAACAGTGGTATTTCAGGAGACTAAATACTGCTACTGTAATGAGAAAGTGATCTTTTCCCATTCTTACGGTAGGTAACAAGGACAGATTATTTCTCTGGGCCTTGCCCCAGCAGGGCTTTAATCAGCTTAATCTAGCCCATACCAGGGATAATGTAATATGTTGCTATTAAGAAAAATAGTACGTTTCATTTAGCTTCAGTTATGATTTTCACTCACCTTGGAAAGAAAAAGCAAGGGCATGGATTTTTGAATCAAGTAGTAGCGTTACTTAAGTGTAATGCAGAGAAGCCTGTTGCTGTACTGTTATATCTGGAAAACAAGATAAAAATAAAAGCTGAAGAAGAGTTATTTCAGCTATAGTTAAGAAACTTTCCAGAGTTCAGGCATTATCTCTCTGCTTGAGAAACACTATCAGAGCAAACAGAGTATGTTTCTGTATAAGTGTCTTTTAAGAAAATGTAGACCCAAGCAAAAAGTTGAGCCAGCTGCTGTCAATTACATAGTTCATCTATAGATGACAGTGAAAAAGGATATACAACTACAGTGCATGTTTGCCTAATGAAACATTAGAATTTTATGATTCCAGAGAACAGCACAAAAGAACAAGCTAGAGACCCAGATAAGGGTCAGGAATATATCAGTCCTGGCACCGTTTGCAAGAGATAAAAAGAAGCCGCCCTTATTGCATTTATCAAGTGTGAATTCTTAAATTGCTGCAACCCAGTGTAAGAGAAGCCCTGCTACGCATCTAGAGACGCTTCAGCATCCTGCTGTGCTAGCCTGACATCTCTTGTGTGTCAAGAGCACTTATTTTTAGATGGGACAGTCATTAGGGACATGCTGTTTCTTAACTACTGTAAAGGAAGTAGTTCAGGGGCAGCAGAAGTGGGTAGGGAGAAGCTCAGTATAGAGGCACTAAGATTCTGTTTCTGACCTTAATCCA